GGGGAAACCGGGGGCTGGGCAGTCTCCCTACCCTCGAGCCGGGAGAGGGCTTCTCCGATGCCCCCTCCCCAGCACTAGTGCTGGAGGCTGGGTTAAGATGGCCCTGTTGTATAGCGTGTGGGCAGTGGCACTTCTCTGCTTCCTTGCGGTGGTTTTAATGAGCTGGATTGTATTTAGCTGGTGTCCCTGTGGGCAGGAGCTCCATTTTGGCTGCCTTCTCCTATATGTGCTGACATTTGTGCTTTTGACCCACCTGTTGCATCCCTTTCCCCTTCTTGCCCTGGTGCCAGAACGAGATAGATGAGCTGAGGACAGAGATGGATGAGATGAGGGACAGTTTCTTTGAGGAGGATGCTTGTCAGCTTCAAGAAATGCGCCATGAACTGGAGCGAGCCAACAAGAACTGCCGGATCCTTCAGTACCGGCTGCGCAAGGCTGAGCGCAAGAGGCTCCGCTATGCCCAGACCGGCGAGATCGATGGCGAGCTCTTGCGCAGCATGGAGCAAGACCTCAAGGTACGGACATGAGCTGGTGTCAAGGGGAAGGAGTGCCTCAGGCGGAGACACAACCCTGCTCTTGCTCCTCATGACTCAGGCGTTTCCATTCATTCTGTTGTACGCTCTGCACCCAATACATCTCATGGGATAGCAATGGCCAAGCTTACCCTGGTAATAGAAGCCCTTCAGGTGGGCTATTTTCAGCTTTAGTCCAATCATTTTTTGTAAAGTTAATGTGCAAGAAGTTATTCAAATACAAATTAGGATCTAGAAATTTTGGATTATTTTTGATGAACAAAAAACATACCCTACCACTGCAAAATTAAACCAACCTCACTGAATAGTTCTATTGACTTTGAGGGGATAACTGCACTCTTTAGTAAATATTTCAGAGGGCTGGTAGTAGACTGAATACTTGCAGAGTTACAACATGAAATCCTGACGCCACTGGTGTCAGTGGAAAAACTGCTGTTATCTTCAGTGAAGGCAGGATTTTCTACATCATCCTGAAACCGTAGACACAGCCCATCAAATTTCAATGTGTAATCAACTGTGTTTCATCCATAACGTCTGAATGAACCACAGTCCAATGTTGAGGAAAAGCTAATTTCTTGTTTAAAGATCGCCATTGTTAAAATATCCATCATCTCCATTCTAGATTGGTCCAATTACAGAAAAAAATGTTTTCTTGTGCTAGTTGGAAGTTGTTTAATTTCTGCTTCCATCCACCGGGTTTTGTTAAGGCTCTTACTGAATCTGGACTTCTAAACTTTTTACAGATGATTGGTGTCCCACCCTTTCATGTGGAAGTACAGACCTCTGTATATCAAATGTGAGCTTATTGACCATACTTCTGCCTAGGACTAGTTACCTAAGGCTTGCTGAATTCTGTGAACTGGAGTTGAAATTACTAATTTGTGATCAGGAACAAGGCCATTTTTAAACCTCTTTCTGATAAGTATAGTGTATTGAGAATGTGTTATTTCCAGGCCTGGTTTAAAGACTTGAATCATATTTTCTGAAAATTTTCCAGCTTGTCGTCATTCTTATTATAATGTAGAAACCAGTCCAAGACATGTTCCAGTCATTTTCTCACTAATGACATTTAAAATGACCATCTTCTCTCTGTTTCTTTTTGATCTTCATTTTCTGTGCATATTCAAAACCCACATTTGCTGTTGTGGCCATGACAGTTCTGTAAGTACAGTTGTCCATGTTACTCTTGATAAAATAGTGTCTTCCTGGTCAGAAGCAAAATGACCCCTTTGTCAGGGGAAATTCTGGTAGAAACAAGGAATGATTTGCACACTCAGAATGATGCTTAGGTGAATAGTTGAGACACACTTTTGCAGGCAGAATTTGAACATGAGCCTTCACATCCCAAGTGAATATTGTGATTCCAGCTGATAGAGTTGATTTCTTTGTTGGCTCAGGGTTACTTTGTATTAGCAAGTAATACATGTGCAGGTCCTGAGAGGCAAATGGTGAGGGCACCTCTGGTAAGATGCTCACCTGCAATATAGGAGATAGCAGCTAAGGCCTTAGGTTGAGCTGGATAAAGGGCTCGCTTTAATTAGGATTTTTTCCATGTCTTTCCCT